TTACTATTTAATAAACGATTTATTAACATATAAAAAATGATTTATTAATATTTAATAAATCATTTATTAGTATTTAATAAATCATTTATTAGTATTTAATAAATCATTTATTAGTATTTAATAAATCATTTATTAGTATTTAATAAATCATTTATTAGTATTTAATAAATCATTTATTAGTATTTAATAAATCATTTATTAGTATTTAATAAATCATTTATTAGTATTTAATAAATCATTTATTAGTATTTAATAAATCATTTATTAGTATTTAATAAATCATTTATTAGTATTTAATAAATCATTTATTAGTATTTAATAAATCATTTATTAGTATTTAATAAATCATTTATTAGTATTTAATAAATCATTTATTAGTATTTAATAAATCATTTATTAGTATTTAATAAATCATTTATTAGTATTTAATAAATCATTTATTAGTATTTAATAAATCATTTATTAGTATTTAATAAATCATTTATTAGTATTTAATAAATCATTTATTAGTATTTAATAAATCATTTATTAGTATTTAATAAATCATTTATTAGTATTTAATAAATCATTTATTAGTATTTAATAAATCATTTATTAGTATTTAATAAATCATTTATTAGTATTTAATAAATCATTTATTAGTATTTAATAAATCATTTATTAGTATTTAATAAATCATTTATTAGTATTTAATAAATCATTTATTAGTATTTAATACACACTGGATTATGAATATTTAAAAAATTCCTCAAAAAGGTGTTTCAATGTTTTATTTTAATTATAAAAATTACAGAGAATTAGATATTTAATGGGGAAGAGGTCGATTACCTACAGACCAATGAGTTAGATTACCGGTGACTTAGATTCCGATTACCTGGATTTCTATAACCCAGAATCCGATTACCCAAATTATCAATGACGTAGAATTCCTATGGGGTAGATTACCGATTACCTAGAATCCCGATTACTTAGAATCCGATTGCCTAGAAATTTGATTGGATATAATTCCGATTACACTGAAATCCGATTGCCTATAATTCTGATAACTTACAATCCCTATCGCATAGATTTCTTATACCTTGACAAAAAAAAGTTAATAGATGGATAGATGGCGCCATATGTAACAAAACTTTCATTTCTTTATAAAATTTAAAATTATTTTTATTAAGCGACAATATAATCAGATATGTTCAATTTATATTAATAACGGGAAATATTAATTTAAATAATTCGTTTCTTTATTTTCCTTTTTAAACAATTATATTTTAATAAGATTGTCGAGTAAGTCGAATAAATCAATTAAAATAAAAATGAGCTTTAAACGACGATTTTAAGTGGAACTCTAATCATGGACTTAGCGCTATGCGACGACTGCTGCTGTCATACATGAATGTTTCAGAATGCAGCTTTTGAAAACACGAGGCTTCAATATTTTTTTTAATATCTGTAGCGATTCTCAAGCTTTCATCAAGCTATGCTCTGACCCGTTACGCGCATCTGGCTCCACGCCGCCACTCGGGAACCCTGAATCAACAAGACCGCAATTCCTTTGCTCCGAACGTCTGCTGCAACATCATCTATCCCTGCGACTCCAAAGACTTCCAGTCCCACCAGCAAACTTTGCTATTCTTGAAGCCGATTTTCCAGGGAGCAGTCCTACGAAGCACAGCCAGTCGATTCAAGCGTCCCCGACAATTACTTTGTGGCCCGAGCGGCCCCGGGCTAGTTCTGCTGATAAATCTTCGTAGAATCTTTTGGCCCCTAGATCCTACAGAAAATAAAGAAATTCCTGCAAGCATGAACCAGTCCCTATAAAAACTCTGAACGTCAAGATTTCCACAAGCTCCTTACATTTAATAAACGGCATTATAAATAACTAAAAAAGCCTTACCTCAAGGATTTCCCAAAAAATGTTGACTGGTGTTTAACGTATTCCAATAAATGTAAAAAAAAAAATTATTCTTAAAAGTTTTTTAAAGAAGAAAATTTTGTTAGTTTGAAGAAATTTTAAATATTTAGATAAATTAGAAAAAAAAGAATTTTTCTACTAAATTCAAGAAAAAAAAATTCTTCATTAATATTTACATTTAAATTGATTAAAAAATTAATTTGATTTAAAAAAAAAAGAAAATTACTTTTAAAAAGTTTGGTCTTCAACTAGAGAGAAAAATTTTTTAAATAAAAAATTATTATTAATTTTATTTTATTCATCAAAAAGTTATCTTCTTAATTAAAAAAAAATTAATTCTCAAAAATGCTTCAGTTCAAGATTTCTTCTTTTCAATAAAATTTATTTTTCTATCTACAATGATTTCTTCTTTAAAAAAACTTTTCTGCGTAATTCAAAATTTCTTCTTTTCAATTAAATTAATTTTATTTTATTTTTCCAACCATTGTAATTTAATTAAAATAAAAAGATATTAAAAACAATAATGCAGTAAAAATTTAATCATTATTTGCAATTGTTATCACTAATTCAACAAATCGGTATGCTTGCTCAATATTCATACCTTTGTTATCACCTAGCGATTGCGAACAGTTATATCAAATACAAACAAATAAATCAATACAAAGAATAATTAATTATTAAAGCATTATATTTATTTAATAAATATTTCTTCACGACTCTTAAACTTAAAAGTGGAGGCTCGTCTTTAATATTAAATATTACTCAATAGAATAAAAATAAATAGCAATCTACAACAATATAAATCAATTACTAGTACCAATTACTAATTAATTAGTAAATAAATAAGCATTTAACGATATAACAATATTTTCTTTTGATTTTATATTGATAAAAAAAAAAACCAGTAAAAAGTGAAACGTGCACGACCTATCTATTTTATTTAATTTATTTATAAATTATAGGAAATCTTTTGATTCTTCAATGCTCGAGTCCAATTTTGTTGAATTATTTATACAGCCGGACGGACGCAAGCTTTCAGCGTACAAACTGCACTTTTTCCATCGGGACCACACTGACATCTGTTACACTCGCTGTAGAATTCTTTGTTGGCTGGACAAGGGTCACCATGTTTCCAAAAAGCTGTAAAAATAATATTTTATTTTTAAATCAGAATTAAAGCTTAAAAATTAGAAAATTTAATGAAAATTTATTTAGTAGATATATTTAATAATCTAAATTATTAAGATAATAAGAAAAATTTTGTGGCCAGTGTATTTATATGATAAAATGTGTTCTTAGGGTTAAATTTAGTATTATAAGAAAGGTCTTGACCTGGAGTTGTGTCTTTTCAAGGTTGCATATAATTTTCACCAATAGTCAATTTATGATGATAAGTATTTAGGCTACATTCGAAAATGCTCTATCTCTAGATACATAATTGAGAAATGGCCTTGTATCTTGTGAAATATTAACATTTTTAAAGATATAAGCTCATCCTGATGTTACACTCATCAAGACCTTTCATTTAAGTACCCACATCAACTTTTCATATATTTATATGTATTATATATATATGTATGTATGAAAAATATATCAAAATGCATGTGGGTACTCAAATGAAAGGTCTTGATGAGTGTAACATCGGGATGAGCTTATATCGTAAAAATCATCAATAATTAAGAAAGTACAATGCAATTTAATAAAAGTAATTTTTTAGTAATAAACTTGTATCTTGTGAATTATTGAAATTTTTAAAGATATAAGCTCATCCCGATGTTATACTCATTAAGACCTTTCATTTGAGTACCCACATCAATTTTTTATATATTTATATATATGTATATATGAAAAATATATAAAAATGCATGTGGGTACTCAAATGAAAGCTCTTGATGAGTGTAATATCGGGATGAGCTTATATCGTAAAAATCATCAATAATTAAGAAAGTACAGTGCAATTTAGCAAAAGTCATTATTTAGTAAAGTCCTTGTATCTTGTGAATTATTGACATTTTTAAAGATATAAGCTCATCCCGATGTTATACTCATTAAGACCTTTCATTTGAGTACCCACATCAATTTTTTATATATTTATATATATGTATATATGAAAAATATATAAAAATGCATGTGGGTACTCAAATGAAAGCTCTTGATGAGTGTAATATCGGGATGAGCTTATATCTTTAAAAACATCAATAATTAAGAAAGTACAATGCAATTTAATAAAAGTAATTTTTTAGTAATAAACTTGTATCTTGTGAATTATTGAAATTTTTAAAGATATAAGCTCACTTCGACATAACACTCATTGAGACCTTTCATTTGAGTACCCACATCAATTTTCAATATATATTATATATTTATATATTTTATACATATAAATATGAAAATATATATAAAAATGCATGTGGGTACTCAAATAAAAGCTCTTAACGAGTGTAACATAGGGATGAGTTTATATCTTTAAAAATGTCAGTAGTTCACAAGATACAAGGTCATTTCTTAATTAT